ACTGTCACCGTCCAGACATTTATATACAGCGGCCGGACAGGAAGTGTTTAAAAGACAATCTATAGACTAAAATGCATACCACTTGCTGACCACGTGATAGTCAAAAGCTGACTAGAGTGCGGTCATCCAGTTCTGAGAGGGCTTCCATGGACATCTTCCCAGAACCCCACCCCCTGTACTCCCCCACGCATCCGGCATGCTCTATTACCGCTGTGTCCTTTGGACAGCTGATCACAGACTGCGGTAAAGAGCCAATCACAGCAGACCTTTACCATGTGACCAGATGTGTCCAATCACATTTTATCACATGTAAACAGACTTGCCAGTTATCTGCAGTCCTTTCCTCACATGCTGTATCTGAGGATAGGAGAGTCAATAACCGGCAAGGCTGTCGGCACATTGTTTACACTGATAAGCAGAGCACATCAAAGCCATCTATCAGTGCCACCTCATCAGTGCCAAACAGTGCAGACACACCATTGCCCATCAATGCAGTCTCATTAGTGCCCATCAGTGCAGTCTACCAGCACCCATCAGTGCAGCCTACCGGTGCCCATCAGTGCAGCCTACCGGTGCCCATCAGTGCAGCCTATCAACGCCCATCAATGCAGCCTCATCAGTGCCCATCAGTGCAGCCTACCAGTGCCCATCAATGCAGCCTCACCATTGCCCATCAGTGTAACCTCATCAGTGCAGCCTACCAGCACCCATCAGTGCAGCCTACCAGCACCCATCAGTGTGAGTGCAGCCTATCAGCGCCCATCAATGCAGTCTCATCATCGATGCCCATCAGTGCAGACTATCAGCGCCCATCAATGCAGCCTCATTATTGCAGCCTCATCAGTGCAGCCTATAAGCGCCCATCAGTGCAGACTACCAGCGCCTGTCAGTGCAGTCTCATCAGTGCCCATCAGTGCAGCCTATCAGCACCCATCAGTACAGCCTATCAGCATCCATCAAGCCAGTCTCATCAGTGCCCATCAGTGCAGCCTATCAGCATCCATCAATCCAGTCTCATCAAAACCCATCAGCGCAGCCTATCAGCATCCATCAATCCAGTCTCATCAAAACTCCATCAGCGCAGCCTATCAGCATCCATCAATCCAGTCTCATCAGTACTCATCAGCACAGCCTATCAGCGTCCATCAATCCAGTCTCATCAGTGCCCATCAGTACAGCCTATCAGCATTCATCAATCCAGTCTCATCAGTGCCTATCAGTACAGCCTATCAGCGTTCATCAATCCAGTCTCATCAGCACCCATCAGTGCAGCCTATTAGCACCCATCAGTGCAGCCTATCAGCACCCATCAGTGCAGCCTACCAGCACCCATCAGTGTGAGTGCAGCCTATCAGCGCCCATCAATGCAGTCTCATCGATGCCCATCAGTGCAGACTATCAGCGCCCATCAATGCAGCCTCATCATTGCAGCCTCATCAGTGCAGCCTATAAGCGCCCATCAGTGCAGCCTACCAGCGCCTGTCAGTGCAGTCTCATCAGTGCCCATCAGTGCAGCCTATCAGCACCCATCAGTACAGCCTATCAGCATCCATCAAGCCAGTCTCATCAGTACCCATCAGTGCAGCCTATCAGCATCCATCAATCCAGTCTCATCAAAACCCATCAGCGCAGCCTATCAGCATCCATCAATCCAGTCTCATCAAAACTCCATCAGTGCAGCCTATCAGCATCCATCAATCCAGTCTCATCAGTACTCATCAGCACAGCCTATCAGCGTCCATCAATCCAGTCTCATCAGTGCCCATCAGTACAGCCTATCAGCATTCATCAATCCAGTCTCATCAGTGCCTATCAGTACAGCCTATCAGCGTTCATCAATCCAGTCTCATCAGCACCCATCAGTGCAGCCTATTAGCACCCATCAGTGCAGCCTATCAGCACCCATCAGTGCAGCCTATCAGCACCCATCAGTGCAGCCTCATTAGTGCACATCAGCGAGGAAGAAAAATTTACTTGTTTGCAAAATTATCAGAAACTAAGAAAAACTTTTTTTTTAAAGTTTGCTGCCTTTTTTCATTTGTTTTGCAAGAAAATAAAAAAGCCCTGTGGTGATTAACCCCTTGGTGCCAGCACCTTCCGGACCTTTAAGGGGTTTGCAGCGCCGGGAGGATGGGCGGGGTTTTGGGTCATATGACAGCCGTGATTGGCTGTCACATGATTGTAAGATTCCGGTAAACATTCCAGGAATGCGCAGGGCAAGCGCTCTCAGCACATGTTTGTTTAGATTGGGTATGTAAATATGTGGCCTCTCGGGGTCAAGGCCCAGTTGCCGAGAGGCCACATATTTGCGTACCATCTGCGCCAAGAAGTTAAATACCACCAAAAGAAAGCTCTAAAACACTAAAATGTCATACGGGTACAGTGTTGCATGACCGCGCAATTGTCATTCAAAGTTGAGCACTGAAAGCTGAAGATTGTCCTGGGTGGATGTCCCCGTTACTGAGCTGTAGAGGGTGTACAGGAGCCAACCCGGGGAAAGGATGTCTAAAGCCAATTAAAAAGAAATGTTTGGATAGAATGTAACTGGTAAGATCCTCTGTCAGTTCTTTGTCACCTGAGATTTCCTGAGATCAATCCCTCTAGAGGGGAAGCAGATAGAAATAAAAACCTGACAGAGGTGTTAACCCTTCCACACTCTATCCAAAAAATCTGACGCATGCCTTAATCCAAGACTGCTGCCAAATGTCCTTTAAGCAGGACAGCTGGTGGATCTTCAGCTCCCCAGCACTCTTGTTTTTTTATTATTATTATTGTACAGGATTTATATAGCGCCAACAGTTTGCTCAGCACTTACAATGTGAAGGCAAACAGTACAGGTACAATACAATTGAGTACAGGAGGAATTATAGGGCCCTGCTCATTAGAGCTTACAATCTAAAAGGGGAGGGTCAAGTGCAGGGGCGGACTGACAACTCATGGGGCCCCCGGGCAATAGGGGATCATGGGGTCCCTGTGTCCTTGCCCAAACTAAAAAAGCCTATGAAAAAGGTACCAGGGGCATCTCATGGGGCCCCCTACTGACCCCGGCCCTTGAGCAGTGCCCGAGTTTCCAAATGGTTAGTCCGCCCCTGGTCAAGTGATACAAAAGGTAATAATGGGGGATGAGCTGATTGAGAAAATACATTAGTTAATTGGGGGCAGGATAGACTTCTCTGAAGAGAAAGGTTTTCAGGACACACCTAAAAAGTGGACAGAGTAGGAGATAGTCGGACAGATTGAAGAAGGGGGTAAAGCTTCCCGAAACACGTTGGATGTTTGTTATGACTGTATTCCTGTTACAAACTAAAACCAATTTTAAAAATTATTGAATTTTTAGTTGCTTGGTCTGGTGCCCTCACTGGACTTTCTGTTCCTGGATTCCAAACCCTGGATCCCCTAGCTAGGGGGTAGCCTGTTTGTGTGGGGAATAGCTTTACTAGAGCCATTGCATTCCATTTGACTGTAACTGACCTCCTTCAACTATGAAATACTGACAATTCGAATCAAGCGACTTAATCATACACTCTAACAGGGGCGGACTGACCATTTGGAAACTCGGTCACTGCCTGAGGGCCCGGGGTCAGTAGGGGGCCCGATGAGATGCCCCTGGTACCTTTTTCATAGGCTTTTTTGAGTTTGAGCAAGGACACAGGGGCCTTATTGCCCGGGGACCCCATGAGTTGTCAGTCCACCCCTGCACTCTAGCAATGAAATCCTAGAAGTAGTCCTAACCCTTTTGCTGCCCATGTTACACCTCACATAAAATCCCTGAAGCATTATATATTTTTTTTCTGAAAGCAGAGACCCTGTGGAATAAAATGGTGGTAGTTGCATTTTTTTCTGGCACACCATATTAGCACAACCGTTTATGAAACTCATATTTTCAGTAAAAAAAATGCATTCCAATTACCTAAGTAATTTTAGCACAAACACAAAATAATGCCCAATATTTGGGTAAAATATAAAAGATGACACTGTGGTGAGTAACTAGATACCAAACATGCCAAGCCTCAAAACTGGGTGTACATACCTGTATGAAAGACACCTGGTAGCCAGAAATCCTGCTGAATGATAGGGGATCAAATCCTTATTTCCCTCATGAACATGCAAATCAGTGCATACTTTGTTAGATATGAATTTCTTTTGAATTTTTTGTTTGATATTCTGTTTCTCAATGTTACAATACACCGAACATTCAATTTTTAGACCGATCATTTCTTTGTGAGTGGGCAAACATTCAAAATCACCCAGGGATCAAATATGCATTTCCTTCACTGTATGTCTAGTGCACTTTCAGTGCGGTTTTAAAAAGAGTCGTGTTCGATTGCTGAGCAGTGTGGTCCGGATCAGGTGCGGATTACAGGCTATTGACTTCTATGGGAACCATTTCTAAACCGCATATGTGTACAAGATAAGATCCGGAGCTAATTCTGTCCTGAACCTGAGGTAAACCTGACCTGAACCTGTGGACAACCATTGTATCAATTAGCTGTGAAACCTGAACTTCAGTCCACACCGCACATGTGTAAATTAGCTCTAAGCTTGAATGATGGCTCTAAAAATATTGCGCTCACTGTGGTGTGCGTGGCAATACCTAATGCATGTGGCACTATCATCTTTTTTTTTTTTTACACAAACAGTATTGGTCCGGCTGTCTATACACGCACATGAACTTTAATGGCATCCCAGTTTAGTCCGTAGGGTTCAATATTGCTGCTATAACAGCTTCAGCTCTTCTGGGAAGGCCGTCCACAAGGTTTAGGAGGGTGTCTATGGGAAGGTTGGACCATTCTTCCAGAAGCACATTTGTCAGGTCAGGCACTGATGTCGGGGGAGGAGGCCTGGCTCACAGTCTCCACTCTAATTCATCCAAAAGGTGTTCTGTCGGGTTGAGGTCAGGACTCTGTGCAGGCCAGTCAAGTTTCTCCACCCCAAACTCGCTCATCCATGTCTGTATGGACCTTGCTTTGTGTACTGGTGGTAGGCATGTTGGAACATGAAGGGGCCATCCCCAAACTCTTCAAAGTTGGGAGCATGAAATTGTCCAAAATGTCTTGGTATGCTGATGCCTTAAGAGTTCCCTTCACTGGAATTAAGGGGCCAAGCCCAACTCCTGAAACACAACCTGTAACATAAATGTAAGGTTTGGGTAGTTGACATGTGATCAGTAGAAATATATCATAGTAGATTTAGTTTCATTCCATGTTATTAAAGATGTGTTCAGAATTCAGTCAGAGACATATGTTCACTGTCACGGTGTGGCAGATGTCCCACTCCCCCCTTGGCTCTCTCCTTGATCACCCCCCCTCCACCTCTCATCCTGCCGCGGCTCTTTGAAGCCGAGCCGCGCAGGACAAGAGGTGTGACTCCTATCACCCTCTGCCATTATCTTCTCCCCATCCCGTGAGGCCGGAGGGGAAAAGATAACCTCCTCGCAGCGAGGTTCACACCTCTCTGTGGAGAGGTGCGAACCTCCTGCGGGGATGTTCCGGACCGCGGCGTCAGGAGTTCCCGCACTTGCGGATGTCACCGGACAAAGGCCGCGCTCACGAGAGCGTGACCCGTGTCCAGGGGGGTGTGCCTCGTTGCCGAGCAATGAGGCACGCCGCCCATGGCCCACCCACCATTGCCAGGATGACCGGGAAGCGTCCTGTATGGGTTTAAGAGACCAATGCCGGGTTTTTCCCGGTCATCTATTCCGCTGCCAAGCCACAGAGGGATCCCAGCTGAGGCGGGACCCTCGTGGTTACTCTGCACAGACCCCCCAAGGATAAGGGGGAGCCTCCACAAAACTGCTGCTCTGCACACATCAGAGAAGGGAGAGAACCACGCAAGCTGCCCACCGTAAACCCCTAAGCTAAAGGGGGAGAACCACGCCAGCTGCCCACCGTAAGCCCCAGAGAAGGGGGAGATCACCGCAAGCTGCCACTCTGCAAACCCCAGGAGAAGGTAGAGATACGCCAGCTGCCCTCTGCAGTCACCCAGGACTTAGGGGGAGAATTGCTACCGCTGACACTGCTAATACTCCGGGGCTGGGAGTACCGCTGACACTCTGTTAATACCCTGAGTCAGGACTATCTGCTGTGGGCCCCACGATACTCTGCCTAATACTCTGGGGCCCGGATTACCCACTGTTGCTGTGTGCTAGAACTACCCGCTGTTGCTGTGTGCTGAGCAGGGTCGCCCCTGCTGCCGTCCGTTGTGAGCCAGGACATCCCTGCTGGAGCCGTGAGTGTATGCACCCGTTTTAATCCCCCTGGACTGTTCTTGAACTCTGTTCCCCCTCTGCTCCCTATTTAGATTACAAATTGCTAGAGACTCTAACTTGCCCCTTGGGGACGGATTACAATTATTTTGAGCCCTCTCCTTGCTATTTCCCATACTGGGTACTGCCACACTCACTGCATCCCCCAATTGAGTGACTGTCATTTGTTTTATTAAAGCTTTGTGTTTTTGCCATCTGCTTTGCGTGTTCTGTCCTGCCTACCCTTGGTCACATTCACCAATTAGCATATGAAAGGACAGAGCAGCTTCTAGACTGGAGGTGACACCTAGATGCCAATAAGACTTTGCCACCTATGTAGTCAGACTTTGTCACCTTCTGGAAGTTTAAAAGAGAAGCTCCAGCCATTTTGGCTTCGTGACCCAGCAGGAGACCAGGAGTCGCTCTGCCTTGTCTGCCAAGCCATGAATTAGATACCCAGATCAAAGGAAAATATTTAATCTCTCATGAAAGCTAAAATATTAGCTGCAGAGAGATGAAAATACTTCCTTCTGATTGGACACACTGTAGGCTACATCTGCATGTAAAACTGTATTTGTAGCCTCTGTGGAATCCCAAAGAAACGCAGAAAATGGTTGTATGGCACCTGATTGCGACAGCTGAACAGTGATTGGTACTGTCGTGATCAGACTGATGCGTGGTGTTGGAAATTCTATTCCTGACTTGGTGATTCAAACCGTTGCTGGTCCAATCGACTTTGGGCACTTCAGTACCCAGAACATCCTGTGGGCTGGTACAGGAACACCCCCCAGGGTTGATTGGCCAAGAGCTAATGTCCAGCCTACCTCTATATTTCAATAAATTGAGGACCCTGAGATATGGACGGGGTGATTCTTACGGAGCCGGTTCTATTTGACTGGCGGATCGCGGACTTTCTCTGACTTGCTCCAGTCGCAGGATAACTCTTGGTAAAAGTTTTATTTATGTTTTTATTCCCTTTTATTTTATAGTCAATAGCCAATTGTGTGTCTTTTTGCATTTTCTGTAACTCTTTAAACTTTGTACATATTTTATGCACTGCCCACTGTCAGGATATTAAATCATAAAATGAATAAGTGACTTCTGGGTACTTAAGCTCGGGCTCATATCTCCGGAGAGATTGTATTGTATTGCAGTGTCTTTATATCCTCGGTCAAGTTCATTGCCTATCTGTATGCAATTGCAAATTGCATGCAGATTGTGAGGTAACAGATCTGCCAGATGGATATCTGTGTGTGTGTGGTGGCCCAGCAGACCAGTCTGAGAATAAACTGTTGGGTGGTGGCAAGCTACCGTTTGTTGTATGTCTGGTGTGGGGGTTGTGTGGACAGTGGAAGAGTAAGTAACAGTGGGTTTCTAGCTTGTAGGATATCTCGAGGAATCCTAGAAGGGTGTGCCAATTGCTAGACTGCTCCCCAACCCTTAGCGTGCACCAGATTGTATATAAGATTCGTATCTGCCTGTGTGTGGTCAGTCAGCTGGATTGGAGTGGAGTCTCCCTCTAGTGGTGGCCAGAGGTAGTGTGTGGCTGTGAAAGTATATCACGGCCGGTCTTATATATTCAGTCTAAGTCCCCCTCATTCCCTCTTTATCCCAAGTCATGGCCAGACGTGCACTCCTCGGTTAGCTAGTCGCTGTGGGCGTGAGCGTGTGGGTGACACAACCCCACACCATAATCCCCCCTCCACCCAACTTTACACTTGGCATAATGCAGTCAGGCAAATACCATTCTCCTGGCAACCACCAAACCCAGACACGTCCATCGGATTGCCAGAGAAGTGTGATTCGTCACTGCAGAGAACACACCTCCACTATTCTAGACTCCAATGGTGGCATGCTTTACACCACTGCATCAGATGCTTTGCATTGCACTTGGTGATGTAAGGCTTGGATGCAGCTGCGCGGCCATGGAAACCCATTCCAAGAAGTTCTCTACGGAATATTGTTGTGCTAATCTGAAGGCCACACCAAGTTTGGAGGTCGTTAGCTGACCCCACTCTGTCATTTTACATGGCCTACCAGTTGCTGTTGTTCCCAGTTGCTTCCACTTTGTTATAATCTCACTAACAGTTGACTGTGGAATATTTAGTAGCCAGGAAATGTCACGGATGGACTTATTGCACAGGTGACAACCTATCACGGGACGACGCTTGGAGTCACTGAGCTCCTGAGAGCGACCCATTCTTTCACAAATGTTTGTAGAAGCAGTCTGCATGCCTAGGTGATGATTTTATACACCTGTGGCCATGGAGGGGATTGGAACACCTGAATACAATGATTTGGCAACATAGTGTATGCATTCATTTGTGGCACTTTTATGTTTTAAAATTTTTACTAAATTTTAATTTTTAAAAACCTTTTTTCCCCCTTTTTAAACTTAAGAATGTTGCTATTACAAGCCTTTTATGTGATAGCATAGGACAGGTGACAGGTTCTCTTCAAGGGGACAACAGGGATCTATTAGACAGGTAATTACAGCTCTGAACTTAGAGCAGAGTTTGTCACACCCTGTGTCACTCTAGGTAGCGGAGATCAGCAAACAGATGTTCATTGGGCCTCCTCCTGACACCCATCATGGACGTCTTTGACACACAGTAGGGAAAAATTAGCCCAGGATACATAGTGGTGGGTCAGGCAGGGAGGGTGGCACAATACTGCACACGTGTGAGTGACTGGGCAACTTTAAATCTGCCCAACTGCCACAAGAAAAATGACAGTTGGCTGAGAAAACATGTACAACCTATCACTTCTGCCAACATCTGATGGCAGCAAAAGAGTCAAGTCTAACAAAAAATGTTTTAAAATTGTTTTTCCGCTTTGTATACACTCTTCAAAGAAAACAAAGGAGCTCTCCACACACCAAATAATTCACACAAGGTTCCGGTTTATTGAACTTGACAATCGCTACAACAGTCCCCGCCCATGGGACCTCTACTCTAACGGCTTTCACTCAATGTGCTTACTTGTAGCTTTCAAAAGTTTGAAGAGTTAAAGCAGCTGTTTAACCCTCCTTGTTTCAAGAGTTAAGCCTTGTACACACAATCAGAATATCCAACGAATGATCATCCAATTTTTTTTTTTTTTTTTTTTGGAAGATAGTCTAATATCAAAAACAAATAGCTTAGTAGTATATGTGATAGAGGAGTGCAGCACTATAAATTCAACCAATATCATGCAAATGATAACATTACGTAAAGTGCCAAGTGCATGTGAATCAAAAAATTATATAAGATAAAGTTATGAATGCGATAGTATGCATAAAATGAACTTATGTGCGATCAAATCAAAAGGATAAATATCAGTAAACAATAAATAAATATATATATATAAATAAATATATAAATAAAAAAAATGTTCAATATGAGTGCAAATTGTCCTTAAGTGTGGAATAAATCCTGTGCTTATAACGAGGAATTCCGTATTCCAATAAAGGTATATCTCATGTGACCAATAATTTGGTGAAGTGTGGAAGATGGTAAAAATGCACACTCACCAGATGCACATTTAAAATACACAGTGTCTAATGTATGATGAAATATTCCAGAGGTCCCCTTTAAGGTGGAATGGATGTACAGCCTGGTAAGGATATCTCTCCTCTGGATACTGGGGCAGCTTTACAGCTTGATGTCACCTCGGATTCTGTGGATTTAATTGCTTGCAGAAGTCTGAGTCAGGGTGGATTTGATTTAAATCAAACTGATTTAAATCACGATTTAAATCACTAGTCAGTAAGGCTTGATTTAAATCCTAGTTTTCTACATAAAGACTAATTCTTGCTGGTATAACTTTAATATGCAAGTAGATGAAGATTTTTAGAATAACTTTTCATATTAGTTTTTTTATCCCCAGTTTAATAGGTCAATCATTCATATTTGGACAACTTTTCTGTTGTACTTAGGAAGGAGAAAAATAATCATTACCTTAATAATAACAATTTAAATAGATTTATTCATCTGAAACAATAACATTCCAGCAGATGTGATTTGCTTAAACATCCATGTTTGTAACTAATTTGGCTAAACAAAATATATATATTATAAGAAACGTAAGAAACGTAGACTGTCAGCCCCTCCCTCCTCACACTGTCAGCCCCTCCTCCTCACACTTAGTTTCACTTTCTTCTTGTGCAGATCTATTCCACTCCAAACAATCAGAAAAATATTGTTTCTATTCTATTCACTGAACTTCTTGATACTTAGCACTGAAGGGGTTGATTCTGTATTCATAGGTTTGTAGAAGTTAGGATGAAGGTCTTTTTCTTAACTCTGTTCATGTTATAACATTTTTGCTGTGAAGAAGAGGCATGTGATCTCCGCTGAGTCAAATTCAGTTTTGAGAACTACAAAGTAAACCAATCATCTGTGATCATATCTTGTAGGCAGAGAAACTGCCCAATAATCTTACAAACACCTCTGGAAGAGCATGACATTGTGAATGGATTCATGGAATTTATTTACCAAAAAAATTAAACATATTATTATTATTATACAGTATTTATAAAGCGCCAATAGTTCGCTCAGCGCTGTACATTACAAAGGGGGACAGAACATGTGACAGAACAATACCAATACAATGCAAAACATGAGGGGATTGAGGGCCCTGCTCTTTCGAGCTTACAATCTAGGAGGGAGGGGATGGTTGTACAAGAGGAGATAGCTGTGGGGGATGGAGTGGTAGGAAGAGTGGAGGAGGTCGTCAAGTTAGCAGGGGGTGGGGTAGGCTTCCCTGAAGAGGTGGGTTTTCAGGGTGCGCCTAAAGGAGAGGAGAGTAGGTGATAATCTGATGGGTTGGGGCAGGGAGTTTCAGAGGATGGGTGACACCCTGGAGAAGTCCTGGAGGCGGGCATGGGAGGAGGAGACCAGGGAACTAGAGAGAAGGAGGTCTTGTGAGGAGCGGAGTGTATGTGCTGGGCGGTACTTGGATATTAGGTCAGTGATGTAGTTCGGGGCAGTATGGTGGACGGCTTTGTACGTCAATGTTAGGATTTTGAATTTGATCCGTTGCACAATCGGGAGCCAGTGGAGGGATTGGCAGAGGGGGGTGGCGGAGATGGAGCGGTGGGAAAGGTGAATGAGTCTGGCAGCCGTATTCAGGATGGACTGAAGCGGGGATAGCCAGCGGCGAGGCAGGCCAGTGAGGAGGGAGTTGCAGTAGTCGAGTCGTGATATGATGAGGGAGTGGATGAGCATACAGTCTTATTCTACATAATTAACAAACAAATCTTTATTTCATGATGGAATAACCTTTGATGGTAATATATTTTTCTCAAAAAGCATTTTATTTAAAAAAAATCCGATTTAAATAAAAATAAATCTGATTTAAATAAAAAAAAAATCAGATTTTTTAAAACATTTTTTAAAAAAAAATAATTGATTTTTATCCACGCTGGTCTGAGTACCATGCTCTCTTCCTCTATTTCCTCCTGTTGCAGGAACTTCAAAGATTCTGTCAGGCAAGGAATCCCTTAGCCAATAGGCTGGAGCCTGGTGCTGGAACAAACATTCCACTACTTAGCTCTCAGACATGGCCTGGATCTGTAGGATCCCAACTGTGTTGAATTCATCAGATAGTCCTGTGGAATCTTTTTGTCAAAAGCAGTTGGAGCAGTCTTCTGATTCAGCAGAGCACTGGTCTTTAACCATTTCAATACCAGGCAATTTTCCCCCTTCCTGCCCAGGCCATTTTTCAGGTTTCGGCGCTCTCACACTTTGAATGACAATTGCGCGGTCATACAACATTGTACCCAAACTAAAATTTTATCATTTTCTTCACACAACTAGAGCTTTCTTTTGGTGGTATTTAATCACCGCCGGGGTTTTTATTTTCTGCTAAATTAACAAAAAAAGACCAAAAAGTTTGAAAAACAAACACGTTTTTCTTTATTTCTGTTATAAAAGTTTACAAATAAATAATTGTTCTTCATAAATTTAGGCCGAGATGTATTCTGCTACATGTCTTTGCTGAAAATAACCCAAATTAGGATGTATTATTTAGTTTGTAGGAAAGTTATAGAGTTCACAAACTATGGTATAGATCTGAATATTGATCAATCCTGAAGTACTGACAGCCAATCTAATTTCCAATAATGTGAGGTCCAATAATGTCAGAATCCCCCAAATGGACAGATACAGATATCCCCAAATGTCAGAACAGTACAGATATCCCCCAAATGTCAGGACAGTACAGATATCCCCCAAATGTCACAGTACAGATATCCCCCAAATGTCAGAATAGTACAGATATCCCCAAATGTCAGAACAGTACAGATATCCCCCAAATGTCAGAATAGTACAGATATCCCCAAATGTCAGAACAGTACAGATATCCCCCAGAACAGTACAGATATCCCCCAAATGTCAGAACAGTACAGATATCCCCCAAATGACCCCTTTTTGCAGAGTAGACAGTCCGACGTACTTCATAAGAGGAATGGCGAGTTTTTTGAAGTTGTATTTTTTTGTCATAATTTTTCGGAAAAAGAAAAAAATTAAAAAAATTATTTTCACTATTTTTTTTTTTACATATTGTCACCAGTGCAGTACAGCGTCATCATATAACTGGCATGGCGGTGAACAGGGACACTGACTGGTGACAGTATGAAAAAAAAAAAAATATATATATTTTTTTTTAATTATATTTCATTTTTTATTACATTTTTTTTTTATTTTTTTTAAGATTTTTTTTCATATTTTACTATGACCAAAGTAGTACAATGTTACCATAGTAACATTGTACTACTTTGGGGAAGTGATCAGTATTTTTTTTTTTTACACAATTTGCTTATAGCAAAGAATTACTTTGCTATAAGCAAGCATTTACCTGAATGAAATCGATTCATTCAGCTTTTTTTTTTTGTGCTTAGCTGTGATTTGGTCACAGCTAATCACATGACATGTGCATGTGATTAGCTGTGACCATTCACAGCTAGGCACTAGTATACAATGGATGGCATCTTGAATAAAGCCATCCATTGTATACAACTGTCATGTGACCTGCTGTGATTGGTCACAGCAGGTCACATGGTACCAGCAACGGGAGCCGGTACTCGGATCTGTCATCGGCCGTGTCCGAGGTGCACGGCCGGTGACAGATCGCACTGCTGCGCCACTCTGCATTAGCGCAAACTGCTAAGTGCAGAGACACATTTGAAGCCGCCAAACGGCCATTGGCCGGGCGGCTAAT